GAAGGAAATTCATGGTCTTGTCAAAAACGATATATGCCCAGAGGATAGACAAAACTTCAGATCGCTTCAAAAGTGTTTCGATGATCGCGTTTTGAATGCATTGAAAGAAAATATCGTTGGATCTGAAAGCACAGTTATGTACTTAAAAATTTGCCGAGAAATGTATTCAGCCTTTTCGGACCCAGATTTGGAGCCATTGGAACGCATAAAACGTATATGGCATGCAACCTATTTCATCAGAGCATGGAGAGTTTGGATTTCAAGCAAAAAAAATGTATACAGTTTGAAAAATAATTTCCTCTCATCACAAACTTATTCCTGTATAGAATTAAATGCATATGCATTACTACATATTATCACAAAATTTCGAAAAGCTGGAAAACCTGAATTATTTTTACCCATGTTGTTCAGCAGCCAAACGTGTGAGCATACATTCCGACAGTTGCGCTCGATGACATCCATGTTTTGGACGAGGATAAATTTCAATTTATTAGAATTGATTCATATGATTGGGCGCCTCGAACTTTCAAATGAAATAGTTTACGATAAGGAATGTACAAATATAATTTTCCCAAGAGAGCAAAATCGATTAAATAAATGCATCGTCTACGATTTACCATCAAATGAAAATATTTTGAAAACTTTGAACGAAGCAAAACTCTGTGCAATATCTGATGCAAAATCGCTTGGTATGAATGTTTTTTCAAATCAAATAAATATAAGCAGTATCGCAAAACGTGGTGGCTCGAACAAAACATTTGATGAGTTCAGCGATGATGAAATAGATAGTGATGATGAATTTTTGGATTATATGGGTGTGGACACAGATGATGACTCAAATCAGCATAATAATTTGCAAGAAGAAAGATCACTTGAGAATGATAATTTTATAGAAAATCATTCTAGGTTTGTGGAAATAAAAAATAGCGATGGGACATACAGAACAGTTCTTAAATCATCTGTAATTTTTGCATTAACCGATCCAAGTGATAGCCTTAGCAAAGATAGATTAAAAAGAGTGCAAAGAAGAAGTATTTGCCCAAGTACACCGAAATCAAGCAAACCTTCTCAAAAGCGGCGAATGAGTGTTGCAATGACAAACAATGAATCAAATGCTAAAAGACGAAAAGGTAACGAAGTTGTTTCTCTTGCGAACGAAGTTGCTATCGGTGATTGGTGTTGTTTTCGAAAGACTTCAAAAAATGATGAAAATAATTCGTTGTGCCTGTTGGGAATGGTATTGGGATTCAAATATATTGAAGGAAGTACAGATAAAGATAAGCAGTACAGTTTGGATTTTGTACCCACATCAGACGAAAATACATCAAAGCGAGGTATTGAAGTACTTTCAACTTGGAAAAATGTCGATAATGATTTTGTTGTTAATTCTATGTCTGAAAATATTAGCTTCTTCGTTGATATAAAAGATTATATTGCCACAATTAAAATAGAAAATTCAGCGAACCTCAATAATTTCAAACTACAATTATCTTCAGTAGAAATTCAAGAAATATTGTCAAAAATAAATTAAATTTTATAAATAAATGTCTTTTTTTATCAACAGTTTAATTTTTTTATTCAAAATAGGAACATTTCTCGATTGCATAAATATGATTCATATGTGAAGTTTTATCAAGGCACTTTTTTCAGTTATTTTTTTCTTTCTTTTTTTTTCAAAACTAAATGATTATAAATTCATTAGGATTTTTTTTTCATATTTATATAATATTAATACTTTATTTCAGTTTGATTTGTATTGATTTGTACTTCTATACTTTTTGATTCTATACTTTTTTTTTAGCTAGATTCTCAAGTTTATTTTTTTGTTAAGAATTAGATTTTTATGTTTAATTTAATAATCATGTAAATATCACTTCATTTCAGTACTTTTTCAAAATATCATTAATAGAAATATTACCATTTGGTTTCAGTTTATCATTTAAAATAAAATGAAAACAAAATTTGTCCGTTGTTTTGTGCCTAAAGTTCAATTAGGCAGCATTGGGTTTTTCCAATTCTTCCTCGGCCAAATTTGTCATGAACTTTGTCCGCTCATCGTCGTTTCCAGATCGAACCATGATGAAACCTTTAAATATTTGAATATTATTTTCGATGCATTAAAGAAAATTCAAACACAAATACCTTTGATCAGTTCCAAAATATCTTGTTGCTTGATTGAACCTGTTTCAATGTTGGCTACCAATAATACCAAGGCCTGAACAAAACGTCTGTCATATTCTTCATTTTGTTTATGAGAGTGCGTATTCCATTGTTTGAACGTTGCAACCACTTTTTCAGGAATTTCCAATTTATAGGTACCTAAACCATACAAACGGGATCCAAATCGCTACGGGAAGAAAAATTGACATTTTTTTAAAAATGCAAATAAATTCAATAAAAAGTTATATAAAATTTCTTACAGTTTCATTGAAAGGAATATTGCCAGAGATTATATCATTTTCGCGTTTCACCAATTCATCCACGGTGACATGAAATGGACGTCCATAACCAACTTTATTGCAGACTGTAATTTCCATTCCGTCAACTACATGTACAATGTATTCGGGTTCTTCGATAACTCCATCAAGAGCATTCATTATTTCCGGGCTTGGTTCAACAATTAAAACCTCTTCCGGTTTCACGCACCCTCCAACTGCTTCAGTTGGTGTTTCAATTTCATTTGGCGTTTCAGTTATAATCAAATTGTTGACCTCAGCTTCGTTTAGCGGATCATTTTGGTTGGCTTGTGCATTGATTGGTGCTCGAACTGTGTGTAGACTTGCATCTTCTAAGTTGATGCCGTTGATTTCAATATGTTCGATGTCATCGTTGCTTCTTTCATCATTTGGTGTGGCACCTGATGCGACTGAATTTTCAGCTTCATTCAATTCACTTATTTCTTCTTCATCCAAAGCGTGACCATTAGCATCATTTTCAAATAAACCCAAAATTGCATCGTCAGTTTCGTTAGTTACACTATTTGGTGTATTCAACAATGGAATCGGATTTTCCACCAAGCGATCTTCGTTGTATAACGCTGGTTTATATGTTCGACGATTTTTTGCGAATGTTTCAGCGACATCGTAGTTGGCTGTTTAAGAAAACATAGCATTGGATGAACATTCAATGCGATCTGGTCAAACGAATACTATAGTATAAATTTTGGTACTTACCAAAAAATTTAATCAAATTTCCTTCATAACAGCCTTCGTTGGGAAATTCATCGCCATCCACATCAAAGTCGGCATTATAATTTTGAATCAAACCATCATTTTCACGCCAATTTTCAGAAAAGAACAATCGATGTTTCTGGTTTGCGTTCAATCCTGAATTCACAAATTTTGGCAACTGTTTTTCATGTTGGAAAACCCAGTTTAAAGGAATCACAACATTTTTACGTGGTTTTAATAAAAATGCAACATAAAACATTTTAATGAACTTTTGGCAATTTTTGAAACACTGAGCAAAGAGTAAAACTATTAAAATGAATGTTGCTACGGCTACTTTATAGAAAATGTGTTAAACCACCTCCAACCAATTTGACGTTTTGAATAAATGAAGTACTAGAATCGGTTTATTGTTCTAGTCATTTATTTTTAAATTCTCAACGTTTTCTACATCGAACCGTAAAATATCATTAATTTGATTTTGGATATTTGCACTAACTGAAATGCGTTTGTGTTTGTCGTTTGCTGGGTCGTTCGTCGTTGTGGTATTGGTATTTGTATGTTCTAGTGTGCAGTTTGCAATGCTGTCAATGGTTTTTGCCGTCGTTTCTGGTGATTTTCTAGTTGGTTGATCTATGTTTTGTACAGTTTTTTGTGTTAAAATTTCTGCAGATTCTTCAATTTTTGAATGTTTTTTCTTCAAGTGTGATTCATAGTTGCTTACTTTCCAATACTTATCATATTGACATGGTATATGCAGTTCGCATAAAAGGCATTTTACACGACACCGTAAACAATCATTGCCTTGAGCGTTTTTATATTTTTCAAAATCCTCAGTAGTGATTTGATCAAATCCAATGGAACAATCGAAATCGATGTCTTTTGTTTCGATAAATTTTTTTACCTTTTCCTTTAGCTTAGCTGTAATTTTCGACGGGTCATTTAAAATAGTGTCAACATTTTCAATTTGTGCTTCGGGCGTTATATTCACACGACGTTTTCCTTTTTGTGAATTTCTGTTCTCGATTGCTATTTCAGATTGAAAGATAGCGAATTCCTCCGTTTTTTTCTTGAGTGCAAGCAACAATGCTTTATGTCCCAGCAAGAAAGCAAAAGGCGTGGATTTTGAATAATTCGTTTCTTCCAATAAATCGATTATATCTTGATTTTCATTGATGTGTTTTTCTAAATTGACAATTTCTTCCGAATTTAATGTCTCAATTGCTAATGCCGTATCGTAGCCCGTTTCACGTAATAATAATAGAATTACTTCTGGTATTTGATTTTTCAAAAATGCATTGAGTTTACTAAGATAATCTGATTTTTTCTTTGACATGTTGAAATTGCATTGTGTTGTTCAGGAGACCACACACGATCGACTAATAAGACGGTCATACATAGGATTGTATACAGTAACAAGAACGCCAATGTGTGGGTATTGTTACAAGCATTTTCAAATTTTGCCTATTGGAGAATATTTGAACGTATACTACGGTTGTATGCGAATATTGGTGCGAATATTCTGTACTAGATTCTCTAGAATGTTCATAAACGTATTCTTATTTGTATGCGAATATTGTACGAATATTGGCGCGAATACTCATATTTGCGGTTTGACAGACGCCCCTAGTAGTACCGTGTGTTTGCTTTTTAATAATCAAAAACTTTCAGTGCACGAACTAAGTGTACAAAATACAAAAAATGATGGTGTCCAATATAAACTCTTTCCAATTTATTCCAATTAGATAAAAAATGTTGAGCTGGAGCCAAGAGATGGACACGATGCTTGCTGTATTCGACAGCCAGACAAAAACTTCGTTGAAGAACATTAAAATGGCACTCAAACGCAGTGGGTTATCGTTTAGTGCCGAATTCAAGCAATATTTTCTCCGAACTTCATATGATCGGTGAGTAAAGATAACCAAATGCCATTTGGTGTATTTCTAATAATTCGTTACTGTTGCAGGATCAACAGTACATATAATCAATTTGAGTTCGAATCGATGGTTGAAGATCAAATCGAAATTGGTTCCAATGCGACCAAGCCAAGCTCAATTCAAACGAATGGTCATTGCATGACTGATCCAGTCAAAATCACCGAATCAAGTGATGAGGAAGATGGTGCAATAGGTCAGCCGAAACTCGAACAGTTAGAGACCACATCTGATTTTCAGTACGATACTACTGACAGAACATCTGGATTAAACGACTTTGTGTACGATGACGACGATGGAAGCTACACTGATGTCAAGTCCAATGGTGTCGACAGCCCAAAAGATGACTCGCAAAGCGGAGATGAAGAAACCGACGTAATGATGGAAATGGATGACTTTCCGATGACTGTATTTGATGTGAATCGCGATACGAACTCAAGAAACGAACGTACATGCACTGTAACTTCGAACAATCGATCAAATGTCGTTGATGACGCCCAAAAAACTCCTTCGGTTTTGACTCAAGAATCATTGAAAAATAAAAATCCAAACAAGTTGACGATAAAGAAGCGATTCAAGTGCGAATTTTGTGAATATTCCAGCAATTACAAAGGAAATCTCAATAAACACACGCGTACTCACACCGGCGAGAAACCGTATCGATGTGATATTTGCCACAAAAAATTCACAAGAATGGAACAGTTGAAGAAGCATAAAGCGACTCACACTGAACAAGTCCCGTTCCATTGCCGTGGCTGTTTCCAAGGATTTTCTCAGAAGGCCGAAAGAGATGGTCACGAAAAAGTATGCAAAAGACGTCGATATGAATGCCATATCTGTAAGAAGTTTGTCAATTTACAAAAAAATAAGTTGAAAGATCATATGCGTGTGCACAGCGGTCAGAAACCGTTTCGATGCGAGATATGCATGAAGCGATATACAGCAAAAAACAGTCTGAAAAATCATTTATCTAAAGGACACATCCACACAAAATCAACGCATTAGTTCAATTGTGGTTTCGTTCAAGACTACAAACCAACTCCATTTTGAATTTCTTCCACAATACAACATGTACTATGTAACCAAATTCATGTCTTCAAAGATTTTTTTCTAAGAGCCGTTTTCGTTAAAAAAAATTCAATCCAATAATATTGTTGAACCGAACGAAAGATATATTTCCAGCGGTTTTTGACACATCCTAGGGTATAATATGATCTTCTTGTTTGAAATAAAATGAAAATTCTTCAACTAATAAATATAAATTTGATTATTATTTTTACTAATCTTTCAATTTTTTGACACAACACAATGTTTTGGCCACCAATTTTCAAAAATAACAGCAGTAAATAAATTCGCCGTTCATCACATTGAGCGTGGCGAAAAAACATTCTGACAGTTCATGTCGGCGTACAGTCACTCCTTTCATTCGTCACAATGTGTTTCGTTCATTTCATGAGCTCCGTGCGATATTAATTATTCAAAAAGCAAAAGAAAAACCTAAAACAATCGTGAGAATACTACTCGATACATCACTATTTTCGATTTTTCCAAGAGATTTGTTATAAAAGCGAAGTAAAAGGTAAGTTTTGCCGAAGAAAATCATAATTCTATGAAAATTGCATAAAAAATTCTCCAAAAGTTCCGATTTCAATTCCAATGACTTCCAATTGTGTAATCGAAATCACTGTATTTGTTCCATTTATTTATTAAGATTTTTGTTCCATTATTTTGCCATTGGCCTAAATTAGATGAATTCATCATCAATGGACTGGAAAAGCGAAATGAACAATATGCTGACGGCGCTCGATCGCCAGACAACATTTTCATTAGAAAGAATAAAAACGGCTCTTAAATACGGTGGACTATCTTTCAGTGCCGATTTCAAGCAATTCTTTCTGGGAGCCATATATGATCGGTGAGCAGAGATAAGAACATTTTTAATCCATAATCATTTTTCTAGCGTTTTATTAATTCAATCCTGTTATTTGGATACAGGATCAAGACCACGTACAATCAATTTGAAATGGATTCGATATTTGAAGAACAATTTGAATTTGGCACAAATACCAACATGTCAACAGCTGATGCATCCCAGATGGTGGACATAATTCAAACGAAAGGTCATATGACTGATCCAGTTGAAATCGTCGATTCAAGCGATGATGACGACGGTGCAATACATCAAACCAAACTGGAACCGTTAGAGACCATATTTGATAGTCAGTACGATGCAACTGGCATAACATCTGAATTTAAGGTGAGAAGTGACGATGATGGAAGCTACAATGAAATGCTAGAGTCCAATGGTGTTGGCAATCAAAAAGATGATTCGCAAAGCAAAGATGTAGAAACGGACACATCATTGAATGTGGAGGAAACAGAACTGGATAACGAAGTAACAGCAATGCAAAGCTACAGAACAAAAAGATCAATCCGATATCAAAGTGAAGAAGCCAAATCGGGTGCAACTCAATCATTGGGAAATAAAAATCCAAACAAGTTGACAATGATGAAGCGATTCAGATGTCGACTTTGTGAATATTCCAGCAATCATATGGGAACGTACAACCGTCACATTCGTACTCACACCGGCGAGAAACCATATCAATGTGATATTTGTCGCAAAGAATTCCCAAGAATGGATACCTTGAAGAACCATAAATTCACTCACACCAAACAAAACCCGTTCCATTGCCGTGGCTGCCGCCAAGGATTTTCTGAGAAAGCCAAAAAGGATGCCCACGAAAAAGTGTGCAACATGCGTCGATATGAATGCCATATCTGCAAGAAGTTTGTTACTTTCAATAAAACTAAGCTTAAAGATCATATGCGTGTGCACAGCGGCTAGAAACCGTTCCGGTGCGAAATTTATATGATGCGTGTTACACAGAAATGTAATCTAATGAAACTTTTGAACACCATCCATAGCAACCCCTGAGTTTCAAAAGATGTCACAATTTGTGTCAACTTTCGGCTGAATTTTATTTCATATCACCAATCTTATATTGAATAGATTTTTTTTTTTTTACAGATGTTGACTTACTCTTATTTAATAAAAAAGCTCATTAAATATTGATTTACGATAAATACAAAAACGAAATTAATTTGGAATTTTGATGTGTTTTATTTTTGGACTAACGGAAAGAGTCCAATTCGCAATCAAATTATAAGCTCTCTTCAAATGATGAATTTTTTTCATGCCGGCGAATTGATATGTCACGACTCAACTTAGCAGTGTGACGAAAAAACCATTTTGGCAGTTCATGTTGGTGTATTAAATTGCAACGTCACTCTCATTACATGTTGCCTTGTGCCTAATTACACAATTTCCTATACTTCCTCTGCTCCATTGACCTGTAACAATAACAAAATTTAAGATTTTGAGAAACTAATACCAACTTATAGCTACCAATTTTGATAGATGCACAAATTTTATTTTGATTTTTGTAAAAGAGCTACCTGACCTAGTTCATGTGATTTATTTTGATTCGAAAGGTAAGTAGTGACTTGAACTTTTTTGGAAAAATCTAGGGACATTTTTTGTGGATCTTCTGACGCCTGACGGAAATTACAATACAAAGAGTGTTTCGTGCGCTGTAATGTTAAATATTATGAAATTTTTTTTTCGAAATTTAGATGGAAACGGAGATGAAAATGGTAGCAATGGACTGGAAAGAAGAGATGTTTAACATGCTTGCTGTGTTCGAGCACCAGGCTGTTAAGTCTTTGGCCATTATAAAATCGGCGCTAAATCGCAATGGTTTTGCATTAGATCCAACGTTCAAGCAGTACTTTTTACACGCTTCAAATACACGGTGCGTATAATTTACTTCTTATTTCCTTCTGAATTTTAATAATAAATCAAAACATGCAGGTTAGTGGAAGCGTACAATCGATTTGAAATCGATTCACAACTCGAAGGCGTAATATTCAACTAATATGATACACATGCCTTTGAAGCAGTATACACCAACGAAGTAAATGAACAACCAGAAATCAAGGAATCAATTCAGAAGTTTGATTTCATTGAAATTGATGATTCAACCGACGAAGAAAGCCCAAACGAGGCAACCAGATACAACACAAACACTTTGACTCAATTAAGTCGTGAAGAGGGTGCCACTGATTTTATTCCGAGATATCAATCGATTCAACAGAAGAGAAATGTCAAAATGATCAGAAATGGTATCAAAACTCGTGTCGGTTCGACCACAATCAAGAGACGACACATAAATCCAGAAATTAACGATCACCAAAATGAATTAATTACATTTCATGACGTTGGCGACCATGATCCCACCGTCTTACAAACTAACCAACATGGAACCGTGAAGAATTCTGATAGCAATACCGGATTGAAGATAGCGGATTACCCAAAGATCAGATTAAATGATGAAAATCGCGATGATGCAACTAACTCAACGGCTCGCTCTGGTGATGCAATTCTACCAATCAATGGGAATACGAAGAAAGCGTCGAAGATTGTTCTTCCCGGTAAGGGACTGGTACCGAAAAAATTCAAATGTGTTGATTGTGGATATTCCACTAATCAAAAAGGAAACTTCAAGACACACACGCGTACGCACACCGGTGAGAAGCCATATCAGTGTGATGTATGCCGTAAAGAATTCACAAACAAAAGATCCCTGAAGAGGCACAACGCGACTCACATCAACGAATATCCATTCCATTGCCGTTGCTGTTTCAGTGGATTTTCGCAGAAGGTCGTCAAAGATGCACATGAAAAAGTGTGCAAAATGTTTCGATATGAATGCCATATCTGCAAAAAGTATGTCACATTGCAAAAAAATTTATTGGAAGCGCATATGCGAAAGCACAATGGTGACAAACCGTTCAGATGCGAGCTTTGTATGAAGAGTTTTACGTCGAAAGCGTATCTGAAGAAACATTTGAACACCATCCATAACAGAAGCAATGTTTAAATATTCTTTTCTACCTTCAAAACATTCTCAACATTCATATTAAAAACTTCAATGCGATTCAAATAATTAGCAAAATATTATAATACAGCAAAAAATAATCTAAAAACAGTAAACGCAACGAAACCAATTGGGTGAAATACTAATATGAAGACTTAATTGGTTAAATTCAATGTTATCAATGTTGAAATGACGATTTTTTTTTATATTTAAGTACTTTATTCCTACTTCTATTATACCAACATTGTTTAAGCTTAAAATATTCAATAAATTAGAAATTATTATCTCTGCTCAGTGTATTCATAAATTCTGTTTCGATACAAAATTGTCCCATCACATGCTTATTGAAAGGAACAAGTTATCATCTCAAATGTTCAAATAATAAAATAATTTTGATGATATTGTAAATTCGTTAATTTCAATTTGAACTCAAAAGTCAAATTCCTTACGTCTATCGGCACAAATGATTTCACTATTTCTACTCCGGCGAATTCGGTTTGACAACTTGTTGTTACTGCACAATCGTATTAAATAATGCTATTCATTCGAAACAAGACGAACGAAGGTCGAGCCGTATTTTTCTAAGCATCAAAACTAAAGAAATAAACTCAGATTTTCACTGAATTATCTTCAATTCATTTGAAAAACTCTTACCATTCATATAAGAGCATTTTATTTTGCTGGAATTTACTTATTATCAAAGTGCGAAAAAGGTAAGATCATGTTCGTATCAACAAATTGATTCTGATAAGTACCAGTAGCAGAATACCATTAACAGCAACAGACCAGTTAGTTCGAGCAGTGATACATGATTCTCTTCGTAATAATAGTAACCTGATAGCATATGATTTTCTTAATAATTGCCAAAATGAATCAACAGTTTTATTTTAATTCGGTTTATTCTAATGCAGTTCAAAATCCAAAAAAATGTTGAGCTGGAGGAACGAGATGATTATGATGCTTGCTGCATTCGAACAACAGACAAAATTGTCCCTGGACAAAATTGAAATGGCATTCAAGCGCGATGGCTATTTATTCGATGATGAATTCAAGCAATTTTTCATGCGGACTTCATACAGCCGGTTAGTAAATCAATCGTTTCTTTTGATTATCCATTTTTAATTCCTGTCAATCATTCGTAGCATCGGGGAAACTTATGATGTATTCAAAATCAACTCGGTTATAAAAAACAAGATCAACGCTAGTGCCGATTGGAACATGTTGGCAACCGTTGGATCAGCTATGGTGAGCTCGACTCGAAGTTTTGATCGAAACTTTATTCAACAAGAAATCAATGGACCAGTCGAAATTATTGACACAAGCGATGATGAAGATCGAACAGAAAGTCAGGTTAAATTTGAATTATTTGAAGCGTTGCCTGCCCTTCCTGAGTTGGATGGTGTTGATCAATTTGACGATGGAAACTACACTGAAATGTCTGATACACACAAGAGAAAAACCCAACAAATTATTTTAGGATCCCTATTAAAAAATGAATTTGTAAGGTTTCCTTATAAAATCGCAATATTTTAACAGGAATCCTAATAAATTGGCGCGTCCAAACGTCAAAGCCAACTTCACTGTGTTGAAACAAAACATTTTTATTATTTAAAGGTTTCCTGATAAAATGTTCCAATATTATAAGGAAACCTTACAAATTAATATTTTAATAGGAATCCTAAAATAATTTGTCAGGCTTATTTTTTGTGTGTATGAAATCAAATGCTTTTTATTGTCAAGAAGAAGAAGAAGCTGTGACGTTGAGCTATGAAGCGAACAACGTCGGTGGTGCAAAAAGAAACAACATGGTAGGAAGATCCGTTGAACGTCAAAGAAAACAAGTTAAATCGGTCTCATTATCGAAATCACTACGAAGTAAAAACTCATCAAACAGAACAAAGAAGCGATTCAAGTGTGAACTCTGTGAATATTCCAACAATCAAAAGAAGAACTTAAATGTTCACATGCATACTCATACAGGTGAAAGACCATATCAATGTGATATTTGCCGCAAAGGATTCGGAAGAGCGGAGATATTGCAGAAGCACAAAGTGACTCACATCGAACAAATTCCATTCCATTGCCGCGGCTGTTTCAGAGGATTTTCACAGGAGACCGAAAGAGATGGACACGAAAAATTGTGCAAAAGACGTCGATATGAATGTCATATCTGCAAGAAGTTTGTCATTGCTGGTATAACTCTGTTGAAAAGGCATATGCGAAAACATAACGGCGAAAAACCGTTTCGATGCGAGATTTGTATGATGCGTTTTACGCAGAAAGGAAATCTGAAATCTCATTTGGAAACTATTCACACCAGAATCAAGCATTAAAGGTTCTCTTCCATCTTTAAAATATTCTCAACATTTTTTACATTTATTCATCCTATAATTCAATATATTGTTTGAGCTTAAACAAACCAATAAAATTAAAAATCTCAATTATTCATATACCATAATCACTCCCAATAAATTTGACCAAGTTATTTGATAAGAAATTCACTTCACTTCAGATTGTGTGGAGATAAACGATCGTTAAAAATAAATTCTACAGTGAATAGATTTAGCTACAGCTATATCAGTGCTATTTTTACAGCTCCTATTCATAGGCGCTATTTGCGACTTTATTATACAATTCCGAACGAAATGTTTAAAATGTAAATAGAACAACAGAGTTTTGCTCAGCGCTGCTGCCATCCACAGCATATTAAAATATCTTGCTGAGAATGCGTTGTCCGTCGCATGCGAATGTACGTGACAGTTTTTACATCACAGCGAACAACAATAAATAAATAATAAATAAATAAATAAAAATGGATTGTTCTCTATACAATCGTTTGAATGTTTTGAGTCACATAAGCGTGAAGAGGACAATGCATGCATTCTTGTTGATGTATAAACTGCCACGCACATTCGCATGCGACGGACGACGCATTCTCAGCAAGATATTTTAATATGCTATGGATGGCAGCAGCGCTGAGAAATACTCTGTTCACAAATGAATAGGAGCTGTGAAAATAGCACTGCTATAGCTGTAGCCCAATCTATTCACTGAAATTCTATTTTCAAATCCATTCAATTGGCTCATAAATTGTCGATCTGTCGCCGTAAATGATTTTGCTGTGTCTAGATTCTAATACTAGATGGCAGCGAGTCTATTTTGACAGCTTGTTGTGACTACATAATCGAATTAAATTACGTCATTCCTACTTCATTTGTTGTATAACACGTTTTAGACACGATTCAATGTGGAAGCATCAAAACTAAAGAAATAAACTCATTTTTCATTGAAATAATACTTTGCAGCTTTGAATTTACTGCAGACATTCCGTTATTCATTTAATAAAATGTCATATTCTTGGAATTTATTTATCAAAACATAAGTAAGGTAAGGATAAATGTCGCTAATCATGTAAAATGGAGTCTACTGTGCCTATAACTAACATATCATATATTTGCAATAATCTCTGATCCTGAGAGTCTGAATTATTGCGTCTTATGCACATAAGGCAACTACCCAAGCACTAAGTTTGCACTGTTCACCCGGGGCATTTGCACCGTGCGTCAGTTACGAAAACACGAAACAGAATACGGCAGGCGAGGCAAAGGCAGCTACGCTACATAACAAAAAGATGAAAAAGGGAATAAAGAATAAGACACAAGGCACGAAGAGTATATGCAAATACACTACTTTCTTCGTGTCTCGCTCCGTATTCTCCGTTTCGTGTTTTCGTAACTGAACAGAGCAATTTGAGTGCTTGGGTAGTTATGAACAGTAACTTTCAATAGCAGATACAGACCAGTTGGCCATTGTACGACCTAAGAGTACCTGCATTCATTATTGCAGACTCAGATAAATTTGGTTTTGATTGTGTTCCATTCTAATTTAGTTACCATTCCGAAAATGATGAGCTAGAGAGACGAGATGAGCCAAATGCTTACTGCATTCGAATACCAAACTAAATTTTCTCTGGGCAACATTAAACAGGCCCTCAAACGCAATGGTCTGGCGTTCAATGATGACTTCAAGCAATACTTTTTGCGTGTTTCATATGATCGGTAAGTAAAAACAATAATTTCCGCAATTTTGCAATAATAATTGATTATTGTTAATTTTTTGCAGGATCAAGTATGTGTACGATGAATTCGAAATCAGTTCAATATTCGAGGATGCGAGCACGCCAGCAACTGACGAATATCCGAATTTATTTCATACTCCAAGTCATGATATGAACAATTCCCAACGAACAACCAATGACCCATTTGAAATCATTGATTCGAGCGACGAAGAGGATCAACCATCGAAAATGGAACGTGCCATTCGGTACGATGGCCATGATATTTCACATCAATCAAACGATTATGTTGAATTTGACGACGATGGAAGCTACACAGAAATGTCTGACATGAAATCAAACTTGTTTGATTATCAAGGGGATGTTTCGAAAGACAGATATGTGGATGTTGGTATTAGGAATGAAATGGAAAACGCAATGAAAGCGGAGGAAATAGAATTGGACGATGGCACTCTGATAGCTGCCATCGATTTGCACCCTGCTATGAAGATAATGGGCCAAAACACATCAACTGTCACTTTGAGCAATGAATCAAGCAACGGCGGTGGTGCCAAAAAGAATAGCATGACAGCAAGATCTTTTGGTCGTCCAAGAAAACAGGCTAAATCCGGCTCAACGCTAAAATCATTGCGAAAAAAAAAGCCAACTTCATCAAACCCGATGGGTACGAAGAAGCGATTCCAGTGCGAACTTTGTGAATATTCTAGCAATCGCAACTGGGACTTCAATATACACACGCGTACTCATACAGGTGAAAGACCACATCGATGTGATACATGCCATAAAGAATTCACGCAGCCAAATCACTTGAAACAGCACAAAGTGACTCACACAAAGGAATTTTTGTTCCATTGCCGTGGCTGTTTCAGTGGATTTTCACAAAAGGCTGTACGAGATGCCCACGAAAAATTTTGCAAGATGCGATGTTATGAATGCCATATCTGCCAGAAGTTCGTCACTGTATATAAAGCTAAGTTGAAAGATCATATGCGAACGCACAACGGTGAAAAACCGTTCCGGTGCGAGATTTGTATGAAACATTTTGCATCGAAAACAAATGTGAAAAGACATTTGGACACCATACACATCAGAATCAACGCATAAATTCAATCGTTTAATACAATTTCGTTCACACAATACATTCATAATTGAAAACGATATACTTAAATTTTCAACACAATGTCATCTTCAAATTCAAAATATTTTCTCTGTTTATTGCTTTCAATAAATGTAAAAAACTTAAAAACCATTGACTTCTAATTTTATGTTTTTCATTTATTTTCGTTATTTAAATCAAAGGTTAAATTTGAATTTTGAGAAAAGTCATAAAGGCGGCGAAATTAATTCGCTATAATTCGAAAGCGGCGAAAGAACTATTTTGACATCGCCACAAAATGGTATCGTCATCTTCTGCAAAGCACGCATCTATTCATCTTGAAAAATCTATAATCTTTACGACATAAAGTTTAATTGAGCAAAAAATACAATCAATTTCTAGAAGGTTTAAAGAATATTGCTGAAACGACACAATTCTTACAAGAAAACTTCCGTAAGAAGCCAAATTCAGTCTTTTTTATACTCACCGCAACTGGATCAAAGGTAAATTATGGAATCTTTTGACAAAAGAAATTTTTGAATTTTACAGAAATTCGAGAAAAGGACTTTTGTATTCAAACTTTGTAAAGTATTTGTACACACAGCACAGGCTTTTATAGTTACAATGAAAATAGTTGTTACTCCAGGAAAACAGTCCCGTTTTGGCGCTTCTCCAGAGACAATTAAATTTCGTGTCTTCCTTAAATTTAGGTGGAAATGGCAACAATGAACTGGGAAGAAGAGATGACAAAAATGCTCAATACATTCGAGCATTGTGCTTTTCAATCTTTGGGAAACATAAAATCGGTGTTTAAGTGCAATGGCTTTGAATTAGATCCAACATTCAAACAGCACTTTTTGGACGCTTCCAATGCTCGGTATATATCATCTAGTACTGCCTCTTTTTTGTATTCATTTGAAATTCCAAAATGATTTTGAATATTGTTCTGCATCCAGATTGGTGGAAACGTACAACCGGTTCGAAATCCATTCACGAATTGAAGACCAAATGATGGACCAACGCGATGCAAAAATGTTTCAAGACACAACTTCTCACCAAATGGAAAATGATTCCACTCAATTCAGTGATCGATTGAGAAACAATGGACCGTTTCAAGAGATTGATTTGGTCGACACCGATGACTCAACAGACGGCGGAAATAATGGTGAATTTGACAGAGATGCGATAACGGCCGATGAACTGGATTATAATGCCTTGATGTCTTCGTTTCAATCCAACGTGGTTAAAAGTCGAGCACATTTTCCAGTTTTTGGTGATCAGTAAGTCAAGATCGGTAGATGTTATTTTGATATTTTCGAAGTGGTTTCAAAGTTGTTTAGTTTTTATCCTTTACAATAAATCATTTTCTTCTCATTGTTTCAAATAACAGCCAAGTTGTCAAAAATAATGTAAAAATGGAAGATATGGATGAAGATGATGGCATTGGGGTTGATGCCAATCAAGATATTGGGGCAGCAGAGGTAAGACCTTCTAAATATTCCATAAAGAACACGAAATCCCGCTCACGTACGTTGAAAACTACAAAAAGACCATCATTATCAGCTTCATCAAACCAGTTGGATTCAAAGAAGCAAAATAAGTGCCATTTGTGTGGTTATTCCAGTAAGCACAGGCATCTTAGTCGTCACATGCGGACTCACACCGGTAAAAAGCCGTATCGATGTGATATTTGCCGCAAAGAATTCACAAGAATGGAACAGTTGAAGAAGCATAAAGCATCTCACGTCAAAGAAATCCCATTCCATTGCCGAGGCTGTTTCAATGGATTTTCCCAAAAGATCGAAAGAGATGCCCACGAAAAAGTATGCAAAAAACGTCGATATGAATGTCATATCTGCACGAAGTTTGTCACTTTCATTAAAACTA